CACCCAAATCTTGATGCAGTTTCTCACCATGCGTCATCGTCTAAGCAATTTAAAGAAAAATTTAAATCATAATTCAACTACAAATTTCTACAATTGACCAAAAAACAAAGACGTGGTCGACCTGACCAAGTATTAGGTCGACCTGGAACACAAATAGTGACTACCACAACCATTAAGGTCGACCTCTCTTATTCCTAGGTCGACCTATCCAGCAGGAAAATAACAATTAACAACAAAAAGTAAGTTCAAAATTAAACCGAAAAAAAGGATAGGTCGACTAGATATCTGGCGCGGTCGACCTTTTCAAGCACAACATAGTCATACAAACAAAGCCAAAGTCGAAATTCAGGTTGAATAACCAAAAACACAGGAAAGGTCGACCTTGAAACCCATTAAGTCGACCAATTGGGTTACCTCGCAAGTACAGAAGTCCAAGTGTTGTGGACTAAATTCAAATACGAAGAATTGTCTCGTCAGGTCGACCTGGTTGATGTCACGGTCGACCGAATGGAATTCTGCAACCAACAATATATCAAATTAGCCGGTGGAAATCACGCATTAGAAAAGAAGACGGCGAATGCTACATTAGGTCGACCGCACCTTAGACCTGGTCGACCACTTCGAACACGTACAACAACAAACGCGAACGATCTTCTTCACAAAGGCTCTTAATTGGAAAAAACCTTATTCGGACTTGGAGGAGTTGAAGGGGACTTATATTCGTATTTATAGAGATTTAGGACGTCAATGGGTCGACCCAATTCGTTTCCTTGTACAATTGTGGAACCTTTCTGGTGTTGGAATCCATATCCAATACGGATACGGTGTGAAGGCGGTCGACCTCTTCATAATGTGGTCGACCTGTTAGGTGCACAAGGGTCGGCCTATGAGATATTTGGGTCGACCTATCATTCTGTTATACCACCAAAGCGGTCGACCGTATTATGTAAGAGGTCGACCGCGTCTCGGAACCCCACATACATGAATTAGTTCATTCGGTCGACCGCATGTTGAATTAGGTCGACCGAAAAGTCCATGTCACGGTGACATGCATGTCACCGTAGCAAAATCCTAATAGATATGGTCGCCGTAATCGTGTTAGAAAGAGATAGGTGAGTAAATTCCGGATGGAAATAAAATGGCGAAGAACAAAACGTCGATTGTGGATACAAGGATTTGGGGTTCAAAACGATGATTATGTGGGGATTTGAGATTGGGTAGGGAGCTAAATCGAATGTGGATCATATAATAAAAGGATTTGGGTTTCGAAACGATGATTTTGTTGGAGATTTCAGATTCGATAGGCAGCTTATGATCGAACTTCGAACTAAGAGGGGGTGTCCCCTCCAAGACAAATGAGGGATCGTATAAGGGAGACTGGAAATTGGTTAGGGCGGCGGTGGGTCGTATCCATAAGATTTAATCTCTTAATCCATATAATTAAACCGGGTACAGTTAGGTTGAAGTCCAATGAAAAAAGGTTTAACACATCGTAATCCTTTTTGTAATTTTCCTCGCCCCCAGTCTTCTGTGCCCCGAATTTTGCTCTGAACACCCTAGAACTATATATTTATATATATATGGTTCATCATAGCGTACGTCAGTCGTACATGATACTGAAAAAGAGAAATTTTGCTTCATTTCATCTATTTCTCGTATAAGCCATTATGTGTGCCGCTTCATTCACCTTCCTGCTTACATGCTGCCAGTTCGCACCGCCCAGCTCCATAAGAAGTTTCCTGATCTTCCGACATACCACACCTACATCGGTCTGCACTTCATCGGCTGCAGCTGCACTCAATTTCAAAACTAGAGTGAGGCAATCCTAGCTGATGTTGAGCAGCCAGTTGGATACCCAATCTCTAAGTCACTCCCACCTCTAATTCTCTTAGCCGCTGCGAGGAGGAAACGGCCACCATCATCCCTAATCACCCAGTCCCATTCCGTCTGCATCCAGTCCAACGTCCGTGTTAACCTTTATACGACCCGCCTCAGGCCGTTTCCATCGCTGTTTTGTTTAAAAGTGCACATGCCAAACTAATCGAGTTGAATTTCACCAAACACACAATAATTAGCTCTCCAACGAACTAATGTACAATTTGTTCCCGTCCTGTAGCACTTGACCCTTGAGCAGGAAACCTGGTCGAGCTATGTTGGTCACATCTCATAGGGGAGGCTCCATTCCAGTTCATAGCCATCATTATGACCCATTATACCCTTTACCCCCAAAATTTGTAGGGCAGTCTTACTTGCATCTATAGCCCTTTCGTTTTGGCTTCTCTTGCAATTACACATTTCACTATTCTAGCTAGCTACCTAGTAATGCAACCTCTAGTCATTAAACACTTTTTGAGCGGTAAAGAACTAGTTGGTCGCAATAACTCGACGGATTGGAAGAGGTTTAATTAAGAACCTTATATAAACCTCCTCAAACGATAACTAACTCATATGAGATGAAGTTTGCATAAGTCCGAATATCACGTGCTTTACAAATAGTGGTCATCATGATTCGAACACTTGACCTTTGGATTATGAAAGACTCGGATACCATGTCGAAAATCAATTGATTCCTAATTCCTATAACTCAAGTTGTTGAGAGATGCTCAATTATGAATCTCTTAAATTTTACTGACATGAGCTAAGTCAACGATGTCATATAAAGAAGGATTACACTATTATTAAGAAATCGATGGATGAGGTACAACAATAATGTATGATTTGAACAAACAACATACAACTTATATATACTCATGACTAGTATATATATTATCGAAATTGGTAGATATCATGCTAGGAATTGTGATGGGTTTGGTTGATGATGAATCCATATACCATTATCGAAAGAGAAGATAATAAGATTAGACATGTATATGAGACAACTCACAACTTAGGAATAGTGCAAAATTGGACCCATTACTAATCTTGGAAGAATATATTGGCATCATTATTATATATACTCAGTGTTCCATGTGTGGGAGAGTACCCTGTACATTTTGTCAAAAGAATATTTGATCAAGGTGAGGCGCGGGTGCAAAATTCATTTTAGAGCACTTGAGGATGATGGAGAAATAAAGAGTTTGAGGGGGAAGAAAGACTTTGATTCATTGGTTGACTATTTGCACATAGGTAATAATATGTGTAGTTCGGTGTAGGTAGATATTCGATTTATATCGAATAAAATGGATCAGAATGGACATTATTCAAATTGGTTCAGATTTTATGAGAATACATAGGGGAGGTAGTAGTAAAAGAGGAAATAATAAGGGGAATCACTTCTTGGGACATTTTTGTAGTGACCATCCATCAGTACTCATCCTAGTCAATAATAATAATATTCCCTTTGTTTTGCCATCTTAATGTTATGTTGCCCTATTCAACAATGGCATGATTGTGGTTATGGGATAGTGCCTACACCAATATCATACACTTACTTGCTGCTACCATTTATCAGTATACTAATACGTATTTTGATCATCCCCTCCACCTACGGTTGTGGCTCTCATTGATGATGACAAATACGACTTGAGGATTGAGGTATAGAGGCAATTGGTTGCCAACTACTCTATTGCAACGGAATTCACGACACTCATGGCGCACTTCAACAATCTCCATCTATAGCTCCAATGCTTCCCCTTACTCTTTGTACAATACTACCATGGTGACCACACCAAAGCAAATAAAAAATTCGTGTCAGCTTTTTATCGTCAAGAATATATTAAACGATAAATATGGTTTTGAAGAGAAAATGAAATGCTATTTCGATTATGGGAGAAGCTAGTCGCCACTTCAGAAAGAGAAAGGGCCAGTGACCGATGATGTCGAATACTTTACTTTGCGCTACTAACACAAAGCCATATCGAGTGAGATACCGAGAGGGTTGGGGAGACGAATGGTTGTGGATGACTTTTGCATGTGAAAAATGAAACCCCTCTTTTTTTGGGGTGGGGTGGGGGGGGGGGGGGGGGGGGGGGGGGGGGGGTTTAAGAATGAAACCCCTCTTTTGCACTATAAGGAAGCAAGTAAAATCCCAGCTAGATTAAGATATGATGAAGCAAGGAAGAAGTGAGCACCCAAAAAAAACAAGGGAGGAGGAGGGGTTTCAGGCCCTCAATGAATCATTTGACTCTTCTTCTTCGATTGTTGTGTTCAAACCAATTATTATTACCACTATACATCCCCAACAAAGTCTTCTAAAGAGAGTGGGATTGATAATGAATTGAGGAAGAAAACAAAACAAGGGTTTAGCTCCAATTGGGGATGCCTAATCTCCCCACCCTTTCTTCTTAATGGTCCACAAAAAGCACAAAGAATGCTTCCACATGAAAGAGAGATGTCCATCTCTCTCTCTCAACACAAACAAAAAGAATACCTAAGCTCTTTTAGTAGAACAAGTTAAAGCTATAAACAATTGACAAGCGAATCATAATACTCAAACACATCCTTAGACCTCAGTGTTCTAATTGAATATAGACTTAAGCATTTATTAGTTTAAATTTTAGTGAGAACTTCTTAGTAAACATGTCGACATATCTCCATCTCTCACACTTGCATAGAGAGTAATCATGCAAAACCGAGGATAGTCTCTCTCCTACGATCATTATATCTTATTTATTGACTATCATAATTCATAACTTAGATACCAAACCACTTACGATATAGGTGCCTACTATCATTATATCTTATTTATTGACTATCATAATTCACTAGCCTTTTACCCGGCCTGTTGGCCGGAGAGATTTATTTTATAATTTATATGTTTAAATCATTTTGGATCTTCTAAATATTTTGTAACCGAGTTTGTAGTATGTTTATATTGAAATTTCCAATATTTAGCACACTCACTTGTGATGCTTCGGTTTTCGAATCATAAATTATGTCGCTGTCACGTCCCATTTAGAACTTATGTCAAAATTTGTCAACTAAAACACTAATATTTAGTGTACGCCAACCTAAACCACACACACATATATATAGTTCAAGCTACCGTGCGCCAGGAGTACGTTATACTCTTGCGTTCATACTACCATACGACCATTGAGTTTTACTATTTAGACCCGAATTAACCGGATTTTTTTGGGGCATTATACTATCTAATAGGTGAACTCTAGTCTCTAATTCTGTAACCTCTAATTTATGCACATGCTTCGTAATACCTATCTCCTATCGTATCTTGAGTTAAATAAAAAGTATAGTATATTTTGATATTACATATACATGTATATATACATGTGTGTGTATATTACACTCAAAATTATCCAGAGATCTCGCTTTTACCCCCATAACGCCAGAGAACCATTGGGGTTGTCTATTGTTCGATATATAATATATAAAAGGTAGGGATGACGGGATCATAGCTCGATATGGTTTTATTATGTTCATCTTATCAGAGGTTATGTTCTTTTTTGTTTTTTTTTTTTTCTTCTTTTTCATTCTACTTTAGCACCTATGGTTGTGATCAGAGGTATTTAGCCCTCGAAAGGGATTGGGATTTTAGGTCCTTTGGAAATCCAATACACATTCAGGATCCTCGAGTTTGGACAAACTCTCGACCAATGTTGTAAAAATTACCACTTTTTAGTTAGAAATTCTTAGTAAATATACTTCATTATTGGATTTATTCATCCATATTGAAACTTGACACACACTGTAGCCCTCATGATGACTAAATTCTCTAATCTCGACTCATTTCCATTTTGGATGTTTTTTTTTATCCAGACACTTAAATTTAGTATATTATACAATATGTATCCATTGTTAATTTTTGAAGTTTATACTAAACCTCAACCGGTGGTCATTGTTTGTATGTTGACTTAGAATCTCAATCTAAGGCACTCACACACACACACTATCGAGGATTTTTGGTCTTAATATGGTCGTTGAATGTGTAATTTTCAAAGATTTTATCGCTTATATATTAATAATTGATAAAGAGTGTCTCCAATACACACATATTTTAAGTGCATTTAAAATGTCTTATCATTTGAACAATATCAGTGTATTTCATTTGATTATTTGCAATAACTTATTATCTTATACAACATATATTAATTCGTTTTTCTCGAGTCTAGACGAACTGAAAACCAATTTTAAGAGTTGAGATTATTGGATAAAGATACTTGATTGCTTAATAAATATGTTTATCCCAATTGACGGTCTTACTAAAAATTGACAACCTTTATTTGGTAAATGCCTATGTTAGTAGTTGATGAAACGTGATGTTTATCGTAGATTCTAAACAAAGATTTTTCTAACCTTCACATCTATTATTTTCAAGAAATCTTGTGTCTCATCCTATGGTATGAAGTCAAAGTTCGTCAACAATCTTACTTAAGTCATTTTGAAAATTTTGATTTATAATCGTCGAAGATAACTCCAAGTCTGAAAGAAAATTTCTTAGCATACGACTTAGAACCTCAATAGAGCTTGTTCAATCGACATGATATAGAGGAAATATTATTAATGTGAACTTAGGTCACATTATCAAATTATTGCACATGCGATTCCTCTTCATTTGAGGAATTTAAGGTAGAACATGATCTGAATGAATAAGAATTTTTTTTTAATAAATAACTGTAACTACTCGATCAAGATTGTACTCTGACATTTTGCTAAATAATATTGTTTTATTTTATATATATATATATATACGAATAATAGAGTGTTTCATTGCAATAAAATATAAAGTAATTTAGTTTATTTTTCAAAGGTAATTGAATGACAAATGTTTATTTTCTCTCTTTTCATATATATTTTGGTTTAATCGATTAAAACATAAGTGTTTATGTGTATGTTTGTTTATTTTTTCATCAAAATGTAACTTATCATTGAATTTTAGTAAAAATGAGTAGAAAATTTATTTCATAAGATTTAATCAGATATTTTTTATTTAAATAAATGTGATATATGTCACTCTCTTTTTTCTTATTTATATTTTGTTTATTTAAAAAAAATTATTATTTATGTTTGTTTGATTAAGTTTATCAACATGTAACTTATTATTAAAGACAAAAAAGAATAAATGGATAAATGAAAAAGAATAATTGGATAAAAGAAATGGAAATATTAAAGAAGAGAGAGGTAGCTCCATAAATACATTAATAACTAATTTTTTGTTTGTAAAAAAGTTGTCCAACTTGGCAAATTGTGGATCCTCCAAGTGCTTATGTGGCAAGAAATTTTTTTGAATTGCCATAATATATAGTATAAATAAATAAATAAATAAATACATAGATAGATAACTTAGATACCAAACCACTTACGATGTAGGTGACATCTTCAAATTTAGTTTGACTGTGAACAAAGATTAGGGCACGTTTTTTGTGTCTTGTTTTTTTACAAAATAAAAAGTAAACATATGGTCACATTCATACTGTTCTAGGTCTTCACCGTTAAGCACCTAATTGTGAACAGAGTTGGGGAGTAGTTCACCATTGACAGCGTCTAATACAGTTAAAAAGTGGGTCCTTCTAACTTCTGACAACGTGCAGCCAATCCATAATAATAGTCAGCTTAAGCAAGCAACCATGGAATTTTGCTGTCGCCAGTCATTTTCCTACCCAGCCAGCTGCTGCATTCTCAGACTCACTTGTGTTCATTATTACTGTTCAGAACACATCACGACTCGTGCTCTGACTTTCTCCCTATCGCAGCATATTTGCCTACCCAGTGAACTAATACTAATAAACAAACATCCATCTCCTAATTAGTCTCCTAATCACAGCATGTAAAGTAACAGTCCTCCTTAATCAAATTCAAGATCTATGTAAAGGGAAGAATCGATCAGAAAAAGAAAAAAAAAACTTACCCGTCTGGTGGCAGCAAGAGAACTGGATGCTGCTGATTGTATTGCACCAAAAGCAAACCATGTAATGTGAAAGCCATTATTGCAGTTGTGGACAATCCATGGAGGGGTTTTGGCCTTTGTTGATGGCTCGAATGAATCACCATCATATATATAAAAAAAAACTTTCATCATCATTCCAGGACTTTTTGCTCTTCTTCAGTTCCTTGAATGAATCAAATTCTTCATAAGAGAGTTTCTTTCCTTCTTTCTCTCTGGCATCATGAGTCCCCAACTGCAATCATTACCATGGACAAACAACCAAGGAGCTCTCCCCCTCCCTCCCTCTCCTTCTCTCTATCTAATGCACACCCCATCACCCCACTACTATATAGCTAATCAACACACTCATATCCCATTCTTCATTCATCCCAATATTTATCTCCACTCTGCATATCCCTTACCTCAAACCCAACTTCCCCCCATTTCCCTTAGGCTTGTAGAGAAGAATCATGTGTATCCTAAGAGAAGAGAGGTCCCCTTCTCCTCCTATACAGGTTTCAAGAAGAAGGCAACAACCCAAGAAACCTAAACTTCAAGTCATTGGACTCACCAGGTAATGTAAAGACTAAAGAGAGTAAATTTGATTCCTTTTCCGTGTTAGTTGGTTAGCTTTATTGTTACTGAAGTTCATTTCTTTTTTTCTCCTGGGACAGAAACAGGAGAAGGTGTGGTGAAGGATACAAGGACATGGAGTTGAAGAACTTGAAACTATATTTGCAGAATCGAACCATCTTCGAAGAGAATGAGAAGCTGAGGCAGAAAGCTTACCTTCTCCACAGGGAGAATCTAGCTTTAACAAGGGAGCTCCAAACCAAGTTACTTCATTTGGATCACTTCTCCACAACTCTTATACGCAAACAATAGTTGCTGCAAAGAAACATGAACTGCCCTTTCTACCAACCCCTTTTTGCTAGCTCTCTGTATTAATAATCATCAAGAGTATTAGTTTTGATGATTTTATACAGGCATTCATGTTCATGCCTGGTCTGCTAGTCATGCTAGAAATGTAATGAAGTGCATGCAAGTCATAAGTTTAACTTGTTCGTGTTGCTGGTCTACAAGAAGGCTACGGCAACTCAGTCATCTAATGTCTCGTGTATGTTTTTATCAGTTTTATCTGAAGAAAGAGGTGATCTTCTTTTCATCCTATCTACTAGTTAGCACCTAATGTTCAAAATTCCATAAACTATTTATTCAATGTAGTGCAATAATAATCATCCCTGCCCTGCATAACTACAACAAGACACATGTATTTCTCAACCACGAACATAAGCAGCATACAAAGGCTTATTAACAGTGGCTGAGTTGCCAAGCATCATAGCCGGGAGATAGATAAACAAGGATAAACTAACCCTCGAAGTAAAAGTCAAACTTCCATATTTCTGAAATGTCAAATGGTACGTTAATTGCATGTTGAAACAAACAGCCGTATAAACAGCTCAAATTTTAAATGAAGTCAACAGTAATCACAAAATGTCAGCCATTGCTGCCATTGCTTCCTCACTTTACTTATTAATCAAATATATTTACAACAAAAGGAGAAGATGAACATTTGAACAATTTAGAGTATTTGCCTCAGCGGGCGTGATTGACAAACTCACCAGCTTTGATGACCATTTTGCTACAACAACGAATAATTCAACATTCTCATCACCGACAGAAGCATTCCCTTCCATCCATTTCACAGCTCAGCAAATCTATCACAAATCCTGAACAAAGCAGAAACAGATATCATTGTTCATATGGAGTATACAAAGAGACATTTTACTTAGCAGATCAGCAGCAAACTAGGCAGCACCACCTTCAAGTTGGAGGAAGCAGTTCGAAATGCTGCTGTGAACACAAAAGGCTTTACAAATATGGAACCTTGTGTGCTCAAAGATCCTTAGCACGTTCCTCCGATTCTCTGAATATTCGGAATGCAGCAATGGCCATTGTGGCGTTACCGATTACAGTCAAAGCAGCTTGAAGAGCCACCAGTACCTATAAATAGTTGACAGAGACAACATCTTTAGCAACCAAAACCTCTAGAAGCCAGTTTCAGCATTTTCCTTTCTGATCGTTTCTTTGTTTACCTCTAGAGACTCTGCATTGTAGAAGAAATGCCATGTGCATGCACAAAGAGCTCCACCAAGCAAAGGTACCTGATTCCCAGTTTCACTATGAGCTAGGGTACACCCCAAATACTTTGCGCTGTTACAGCTAAAAAGAAGACAACTTCAGATGAAAATAAGGGCACAGGAGTAACTCACCATACCCCAAGAGAGCCCCTTCCGGGTTTCAAACCCAGATTTCTCCCCGTACTGCCACACCAATGCCATTGCTGTAACCCTGTTCAAAATCGAAGAAAGAAATTTACCCATTAGAACTGAAGCTCCAAGAGAACAGGAAGCAGAAAGAAAAGTAGAGAAAGGAAAATCGAACCCACCACTCCGCAACGCTCGACACGTGGACAGCCCAGGTAGGCAAAGAGAGCGCGTTAGCGGGCTCGCTGAGCTCACCCACTAGAGGTAGGTTCACTGCGGAGGCGGGTCCAATGAAGGTCAGAACCAGTCCAGCCCCAACGAGACCGGCGACGCCGAAATTCACCGGGTTTTTGGCGGCCGCGATGGGTGGAGATCGAAGACAGACCAGCTTACGAGGAGAGGGAGAATTGGGAAAGGTAGGTTGGGGTTTACGAGATGGAACGCGGAGTGAAGTGAATAATGATAAGGTTGATGCAGTGGAAGCCATGGAATTTTTCAGGCCTGTGTTCTGTGCAGGGCGCGGGCTGTTTGGAGAGCAGTCTGATTTTGATAAATGGAAGAAAACTAGAAATGTCGCAATAATAGATCCCGCCAAATGAAGGGGAACCCAAACCCAGAAATTGCTCGGACTCTTTCCCACTAAGTTATCCTGTCCTTACAGTAAAAAAAAAAAAAGTTATCCTGTACAATTTTTCTTTTTACGGGTTACTGGATCACAATTGAATGAATCGAGCTGCATTAGAGAAATGAGATCCATCTACACAAGCAAGCAGCGTAAGTGGATAACAATGCTATATTATTACCATAACTGGCTGATCAGGTACAGAAGGATCACACCTCCATCCGATATCAGGATCGGACAGCAGCTTCACATTCATTGTGTACAAACAGTACATGGGTAGACAAATGTGGAGGAAACAAAACCCATATTTTTGCAGGAGCTTCATTACATCTCGGTTATACTGTGAACGCATTCATTATCCAGGTGAAGAAACCCCTGCCCAGAAAATGGAGCAATGCGAGAGTCGTAATTGCTTCCACTTGTGTTGATACTCGCTACGCGAGAGTCGTAATTGCTTCCACTTGTGTTGATACTCGCTACGCTTCTTTCTTCTTAGCCCAAATCATCACCAATGAGAAACCCATCAGGGACATTATTACAGTCTGCAAAAACGTCATGAATCAGAGTTCTCAACATGGCTTTAACCATGAAAGTCAGCTAATAGGTAGAGCAAGAAACTGCAGTATTTGGCATTATAAAAAAAAAAAGGTGCAGCATTTGGTAGCTTACAGAGATTGCAGGAGGCACAGCAACCAACGGATCTTGGAAGAACTTGTTGGCAAGTGCAAGACCCAGAAGACTACTCTGCATTCCGGTCTCATATGATATTGTTCTTTGGAGAGCCTTCAAATCTGGTGCGTCATGGAACGCTAAACCTGTAACAAAATACCCAATAACAAATGCTGACAGATGAAACGCAACAATGAGTGACAAGATTGTCACCCCGAAAGGGGACATAACTGACTCCACATTGATCGCCAGCGGTGCTCCGACACAGCATGCCGTCACGAGCACAGATAGAGGAGGCAGAAATGGCCGAATAGCACTGGATATCCGTGGAAAGAACCTGTAAAGGCATTGGAAACACAAGTGAGTTGCTAGAGAAAATCTAAGAACCAAAAGATAGTACAGTAAATGTTGTACTGTATTAATTCCCACCTATTGAGAAACAAGCCTGCAGCAATTGGAGCAACTACAATTTGGGTAATGCTGGACACCATTCCTTTAACATCAACGGGAAGCCTCTTGCCAATGAGCAAGAGAGAGAGCAAAGGCGTGACAACCACTGCTGTAGCAGTGGACAACGAGGTCATAACGATGCTTAGAGGAGCCAACTGTGGATCGGTGAGGAAGGTAGCATAGTTTGAAAGTTGGGCCCCACTGACACAAGATACCAGCATAATCCCAGCACCAATGGGAGTAGGAAGGCCAAACATAGAAACCGAGAGTATGCCAAATAAGTATCCAAGAATAGGCTTCACTGCAAATTGGCCAATGTAACCAGCCAAAATGGCTGCTGGTCTGCTGAATGCTTCAACAAAGTCCTTCTCGTTCGAGTTAAGCCCAACTGCAAACATTAAAAACCCTAAAGCAGGAGCGTAGTACCTGAAACGAAAGGAAGCAGAAAGTTCACAACATATTCCTCCTCATTTGCAGATATGAAAGACAATTGGAAAGATGGAATGAGCAAGAACATGAACCTGGTGGTGAACCAGGTGAAAGAAGGAGGATAGACGAGTGCCATCAAGGTACTAGCGAGGACTACATGAGGCAAGAGTGAATTCGCTTGTTTTAGGATATCGACTATAGAACCATTCCCTCTATCAGCCATCTGAATCAGAGCATTAACAACAGTTATTACAACCACGCTTTGACAAAATTGAAGCCTTGCTCAAACTTCTAATGGCAAACAAGCATCAAATTCTTATCAAACTAGTGTGCGGACCATCAAATGAAGAATTAGCTCACAAATCTGTGTCAAAGTAACCATAACCTCTAGTAACAGATTGCATTGCAGAAGACTACCAATAGGGAATAGGCATAAGAACTTAGCAATGGCAACAAACAAAAGCAGAACGATTGTGCACCTGACTAGGAAGGCCGACATGGCCGGAATCCGGCTCAATGGAATCCGAGAACTTGTCGGAGACACATCTGGTCACCAAGAATCTCGAACTCCCAACTGCCAGTGTAAACCCAACACAAATCCCCATTAATGATTACTCTTTCAACAAAGTGGGCCAGAATCACACGATTGAACTGTGTGGTCCGCACGAAAGCAACTGAAAGGTACGAGCTTTCACCTTGGAATCGCGAGTCCGGTTGAATTGAAACTCCAGCAGAAGTCAACTCTGCTAAGCAAAAAGAGGGAAAAACAAACACCCTCGATTACGAAGAACCAGATGAGGATAGAAGAAGGCAGAGAGACAATAAAAGGAAGATAAAAGGAGCGAACTTTACCCGGAAACTTGGGGAGGGAACTCCGCGCGAAAGCACCGAAGAGCTGATTGACACATTTCGGATAGTGGGCAGGGTGTCGCCGGCGAGATGAAGAGTTGTAGATGCCCTGAAGCTGCAAATTCTGAGCGTTTAGGCTGCTCATAGGTGAAAGCAGGAAGTAGGTAAGTATGGCCGAGTAGGATCAGCAGTGAATCGATGGGAAAACCTCACCAGTCACTAACGCCGCCGACTTTTGCCAGATTCAGTGTAGATCAAAGAGATTCATAAAGGGTTCCATCAAAAAAAAGTTTTAAAAAATGACATTCACATGGGTGGTTGGTGTGACTCAGCCACCGGCGGGCGGCGGGTTGTTGCCGAATTGGCAACACGTGGTAAATTTCGCTTTACCATAGTTACATTCATAAATCAAAATATATTCAAGATGCGGATGGGCCTGAGATTTTGGAGCAGAAGGGGGTCGGCCCATGATGTAAGTTTGTAGGGCCCATATTTAGTAAGCTTCGAGTTCGGGTCCAGGCCCAGAAATGTGCGCAGATTGGAGAGTAGGGCGAGTCAGATGGGGTTCAGGGTTTCGCTGGGGATTTTAGCGTAATCCTTCCTTGCGGCGGAACCACCATTTGCACAAATTGAAGAGCCAGCACCGGCGAAGAGAGAAAAGAGAGAGGAGAAGCAAACTTTGGCCGCAGCTAGCACTCGATCTATACGGCTTAATTGTCGGTCTCCGTTTCCAACTACCCTGGAGCAGCTGGTTAAACCAGAACTCGGCGTCGGCAAATTCAGCATCACTAACTGCTACAGTGAGGCTGAGCGAGGATGGCGGAAGTTATGGTCATAAAAGATGTAGAGGCGTTGGCTGCGGAGTGGGGAATCGACACATCGCAATTAGATTACGATTCTATAGAGCTGCCGCGGGGCGAGGATTTCGGCATCATCAGGTATTTTATTCGAAACCCTAATAGCAGTCCATCGAACACTGTTTCCGCCGGTGAGTTTAGAAGAATGGACGTGCAGATCATTTTCAGTTTTGAACATGGTGTTTTTTAATTTTTCTTTGTTAGTGACGATGAAGATGTCTATCAAGAGGAACAGCTCGATTCGGACACGGGGTTCGGCAACGTTATAGTTGTGGATAATCTTCCCGTTGTTCCGTTGGAGAAATTCGAGAAACTTGAAGGGGTTGTCCGCAAGATTTACAGTCAGATTGGGGTAATTAAGGAGGATGGCCTCTGGATGCCCGTTGATTCTAAGACCAACAAAACCTTAGGCTACTGCTTCATTGAATACAACACTCCTCAGGTGCTACTCTGCTTTTTTTTCCCCATTCAGCTCCTTGGTATTCAAAGATCCTTTTTTTTTTTTTTTTGTGTGTGTCTGTGTGATTACTGATGGCGCTTTCAACTCACAGGAAGCGGAACTGGCTAAAGAAAAGACCAATGGGTATAGGCTGGATAAGTCTCATTTTTTCGCTGTCAATATGTTCGATGATTTCGACAGATTTATGAGAGTTCCAGATGAATGGGTAGCTCCAGAAATCAAGCCATATGTTCCTGGGGTAACTAGATTCTGTACTCTTTTCATGTCTTGCTTACTTCATCTTCTGAAATTGGATACAAACAAGGCTAAGAATGAAAAGTCTTACATGATGCATCTCTATAAGAACCCTGCTTAGTTGAGAACAAGGTGTTGATAGCCACTTCACACTCCTTTTCTATTGTTGGTCAAACATGCTATTTGTGTATTGCTATCGAATGCATCAATAATGGATGTCTGATTTCAGTTCGGGATGTGTGTATGCAGTTTTCATTTTGAACAGTTTTGTGAATATTTCGTTGGAACTTTATTTGCCTTGCATGTTGCAAGTTAGAATAAGGACAAAAAATTGTTATAATGGCTTACAGCATTTGTAATATACTCTAATAGTCTAATTCAAAACGCTTTGTTAGTTGATGAAGGAAGCAATATCAGTAGCTCTTGGGGTATTTGTGTTTAGTTGTGCATGGGAAATGTCTCTCTCTCTCTCTCATTTTGCCAGAACTACTGGACAGCTGCAACCATTTCAATTTACCATGCGCAGTTGCACATGTGGGTTGTTTTGACGTGTTCTTTTCCCTTCCGTCGCAGGAAAATCTCCAGCAGTGGCTGACAGATGAAAAGGCAAGGGATCAGTTTGTTATTCGTGCTGGCACAGATACTGAGGTTTTCTGGAATGATGCCAGACACTTGAAGCCTGACCCTGTCTACAAGCGGGCGGTGAGTTCTGCATTATCATTTTGATCTGGGGAATATGGTGATTCATTCCAATCCCTTATGATTTGTTCTCAAGTTTCTGATTAGGTCTAATAGTTACTTAAGTGCCAGATATGGAGCAGGTAGGAGAAAAAGTTTTTCCCCATTTTGTGGTTGGTAACTAAAAAGCAAATTCAGGACTAGATCTTACTGAATTGTGACACAAAATAGAAGATGAAGTTCCAAACAAATAATTACTGGGGATGTGTTCATATAGGGTATGGTCCTTTTAGTGATTTATTATTACAACAAATTTGTCTGATCATGATCCCTGTTTGCTGTCGCAGTTCTGGACTGAGGGTTATGTTCAGTGGTCTCCACTTGGAACCTACCTTGCCACAGTTCACCGGCAAGGAGCTGCTGTTTGGGGTGGTGCGGAAACTTTCAATCGACTTATGCGTTATGCACATCCTCAGGTCTTCCAAACCCTTCCCTTTCGTATTCGCATGTTTTCATGACTAGTTTTCTCTTTTTAATTGGGTTTAGTACTTCGGAATTCAGGTTAAACTGATCGACTTCTCCCCGGGTGAGAAATATTTGGTTACCTACAGCAGTCATGAACCAAGCAATCCACGTGATGCAAATGTGAGTTTTTCACCCATTTCTTATTATGTGTTGGCTTGCAGATTCTCTTTAATGTATCATACTCCACCAATAACTTATTCATTATCTTCCAGAGGGTTATAATAAATATCTTTGATGTAAGAACTGGAAAAGTGATGAGAGATTTTAAAGGCAGTGCTGACGAATTTGCTATTGGGGGAGCTGGTGGTGTTACTGGTGTTTCATGGCCTGTTTTCCGGTAATTTCTCTTCTGCAAATTGGCTGTTTTCTGTTACTCTCCGGTTCTTGTGATAATTTTAGAAAACAACCTAACAAATGTCTCTTTTCATTTTTTGCAGCTGGGGTGGTGGAAAGGATGATAAATATTTTGCTAAACTGGGGAAGAACATGATATCTGTGTATGAAACCGAGACTTTCAGCCTCATTGACAAGAAATCCATGAAGATTGAAAATGTGATGGACTTCACATGGTCTCCAGCTGATCCAATCTTTGCACTCTTTGTTCCTGAACTTGGTGGTGGGAACCAACCTGCTAGGGTTAGTCTTGTTCAAATTCCTGGGAAACAGGAATTGAGACAAAAGAACCTTTTCAGTGTCAGCGATTGCAAAATGTACTGGCAGAGCTGTGGGGAGTATCTTGCTGTGAAGGTGGACAGGTACACCAAAACAAAGAAGAGCACATACACAGGGTTTGAGCTTTTTAGAATCAAAGAACGTGATATCCCTATCGAGGTCTTGGAGCTTGAGAACAAGAATGATAAGATCATTGCTTTTGCCTGGGAGCCTAAGGGTCACAGATTTGCAGTTATTCATGGTGATGGTCCTAGGCCTGATGTAAGCTTCTATTCTATGAAGACTGCTCAACACTCTGGTCGCGTCTCCAAACTCACTACTCTCAAGGGAAAGCAGGCCAATGCACTCTTTTGGTCTCCTAGCGGGCATTATGTCATCCTGGCAGGAATGAAGGGTTTCAATGGTCAGTTGGAGTTTTATAATGTTGATGAGCTTGAAACCATGGCTACTGCTGAGCATTTCATGGCTACTGACGTCGAATGGGATCCTACCGGAAGGTAATGTTATTTAGCAGTTTTGGAAGGCATACATTAGATGGGTCGTCGTTCTGTACTCTGATCCTGATATGTTTTTGATTTGCAGGTATGTTGCTACAGCTGTCACCTCAGTTCATCATGAAATGGAAAATGGATTCAATATATGGTCCTTCAACGGGAAACTCCTCTATAGGACACTCAAGGATCATTTCTTCCAGGCAAGTCCAGTGACTATTCTTTTGATTGCTTCTGTGGATGTTTGTTATTTCACTTAGTAAAACATCCATGTCTTTGATTTAGCTTTTGCCAAGAATAACTTTCTCAAAGTTGTAGAACAAGTATGTTCTGTTTAATTACAGACAGACGACAGTTGGGTTCAATGAATTAATTGGATTCTAGATACTGGTGTTCTGAATCACTTTTTTTTTTTTCCCCACCCAATACAGTATCAATGGCGCCCAAGGCCGCCTTCTTTCTTGAGTGCTGAAAAGGAGGAAGAGGTTGCAAAGAACTTGAAGAAGTACAGCAAGAAGTACGAGGCGGAGGACCAGGATGTGTCGTTGCAGTTGAGCGAACAAGACAGGGAGAAGAGACGGTTGTTGAAGAGCGAGTGGGAACAATGGGTGAACCGTTGGAAGCAGATGCACGAAGAAGAGAAATTGGAGAGGCAGAACTTGAGGGACGGAGAGGCCAGCGATGAAGAAGAGGAGTACGAGGCCAAGGAAGTCGAAGTGGAGGAAGTTTTGGATGTTTCAGAGGAGGTGGTTTCATTTGAATATGGACAGTAGTTGTAGTAAGCATGTGCTTGCATTGCATGCATGGGCTATATGCAACATGCATTAAGTTGCTGTTTCTGATTCAGCTTCAGTTTTTTCTTGTCTTTGATCACTACCTCTCTTTAAGGGTATTCGAGAAGACATTGCTGCAATCTCGCATGTACTTTAGTGATCCCTGCTGAGATCCTGGCTCAAATTTTGTTAGTTTGCTGAGGCGTAAGTTTTGTTACTTGCTCTCCGCATTACTTTGATGCAGTTTTTCAAGTATCCGCAGTTTTTCGTTGAATGGAGAACTTGGGTTGTCTTGATGAGTATGTAAATAAGCTATAGCAGTATTACCTAACTGAAAGTTGGCTAAAATACAATGCTTGGGATGTGTTTAGCAATGTGAAAATTAATGGCGTGAGATTTTATTAAAATATTAATTTGTCCCTTTTTTGTGAGATGGAAGAAGGAAACAATGGAAAGGAAGAGAAAGAAGAAGGATAAAATTGAGAGAAAAAAATTGTCAGAATAAATGAGGCGAGTGTCGTAATTACAATTTCTTGTCTTCAGAATTTGGCTCAAATCAACACGTTGTTTTTGTCCGGCCGAACATGAATTTTTTTTCCAATTAACACATTTTCCGGATTTAAACCCAATTCCCGCATTAAAATTTTAACAGGTGGCATTAGAGTGAGTTTGGTGAATTTTGGTCTCATATCGATCCACTCATTTACTAGCGAGTTGGTATAATTGTGATCCATTATTCACCCACATTTTTTTGCGGATTGGGTTGGGTGGGTGGCAGATGGGTGCATAATCAACAAAGGCGTTTAGGTTTCAACAGAAAAAATTCTGAATTGAATTTAAATGTGGAGCACCGTTACGATCCTTTTTCTTTTAATTTTTACTAGAACAATTTTCTCGAGGAATATGATATATGTAATGGATATAATAGATAATTTGAAATGCATGAAATGAGAATATGAGACCATCCATTCCACTATGGGCGGTGGGAAGAAGGAAAAGAAGGGTCTTTTGCAAAGGGGAGCTCACAGTGGAGGTTGAAAAAGAGGGGGGAGGGGGGAAGATTTTTTGGGTGGTTTTGGGTGGGTTTTCCCCTACATCCAGACAAAAGGAGGGGGAGTGGACTGGCGGGGCCCGCGTGTCAGAGTTAGTTTTTAGTTTTATTTTTCTTTTTTTGTTTTAGTTTGGATTTTTTTAAATAGTAGATCGTTTTCAATGCAATCTAACGATCAAAATTAAATTCCAACATATCTATTTTATAATGACTATATTTTTCAACAGTTATAAACGATAATATTAAGTCAATGACGAAAAAAATTATGTCCAAATTAAAAAAAAAATTATATCACAATGTTCATCTTAATTAATTATTACTACATATATAAAAAGAACAATAAAATGATTTAACTAAAGTGACAAAATCAACATTAAATCAGATTCATCAAAAAACATCCCTCCCACTTTTTCCTCCCAACCCATTGTGGTGTTTCTCACCCTCAACCCCAAAAAAATCCAAAATTATCCCCCAACCCACCCAAATTTCCCACCAAGCCATAGTGCATGGTCTGAGTGTTTTGTACCTTACTTATGCACATAAATTTTTTGAAAGTGATTCAACTATGCATAATGTGTTTAGACCTCCATGAAAAGAGAAAAACATATGATATAAGCATCACATATAATTTTTTCATGAAGAAAGAAATAAATCTAACTAATTGTCATCATTACTTAATTAAACCATATAGTTGAATATTAGAGTGGTTTCTCATTATATATATATATAATCAACCTTATGATGAAAGAAAATGTTTCTCATAGAGTTCAGTATGTCCTTCAAGTTTTTCCCAATAGAGAGCATTCTTTTTTACCACACTGTTGATAATTAATCTGAAGGTGCTTGATTTGAAGTATATAGGACATGATGCTAAGTTGTCACTAATAGTTAGTTGAACAATGTGTTGTGTACGGACTTCCTAAATTATTCTCAGATTGCAGACATGTAGTAATTTTCTCAGATTGCAGAACAATGTGTTAGTTGAACAATGTAGTAATTTTCATGCATCAAATATTTTTTTTCGTAAAATAATTACATAAATAAAATTTTATGAAAATCATATTACATGAAATATATGTTACCCATTAAGTTGATGAATGGGCGAGGGTATGAGGAGCATACATTTATTTTAAAAGAAATTGCAAAGTGTCTTTTGAGTTGAGTTATGCATTATCTCTAACTGACTTATGCTCTTTTTCCAATACATAGTTCAAATGTGACTTGTAACTTTTGTTTCCACCGGTGTAAAAGAATTGTTTGAACCGAGGATTGTAAAATCGTATCAAAAAAGTTGGTGGTATATTATTTTATACTGAAGTTATAATTTAACAATGGTTTAACCATTTCATATTGCTAAATATCACCTACCGATTCAACCTATGGTGTGAAGTTTTATGGTTGAACTGCTGGTACGTACGATCTTTCAATTCAAACTTCAAATAAAAAATTGCTAAAATATTGACATTATCGAATACCCCTTAAATCTAAGAAATTACAATAACTATATTAAGGAAAAAATCTAAATGATAATATTGATTTAGGATTTTAAATTGAAATGAAAAAAATATGTCAAATATAATGTGATTAATGTCATCTCCTAAAATAAATCAAAACTCAACAGGATAGGGCCAACAATACTCACTAAGCAAAACCGAAGGACAATTATTTCACACTGCCTCATTTTTTCCCTCTTTTAAATGTGTCATCTCACTCTCTCAATACCTTCCTCTTTCTTTTTTCGTTTGTTCTTCTCTCTCTCTCTCTCTCTCTCTCTCTCTCTCTCTCTCTCTCTCTCTCTCACAGTTTTGTATCTCACCACTCTCTCCCTTTTCCTTCCTCTTTCTTCCCATCGTCTAGAATTGAGAGAAATCTAGAAACTCCCAATTACTTCTCTAATTTTGCGTTCGTAATGCTTCTTCCCCATTCACGGTCGATAGCGTGAATTAGAGCACCTGAAACTTGGCGAACAGATGACTGCTTATTCTTCGTCGGAGCACAGTAGTTTAATAGCATGCGAATAAACTAACCACTTAAATTGATAGAAACAAAACTCATTAAACCAATCGAATGAGTGTATAATTAGTTTATTCCTTAAACAATTTTAGTTATCTAAAGAATCAAAATGGATAATCAGGTTCATCTTCACTTAGTTACATGTATTTGTCGTACAAATTCATTACGAATAAAAAATGGTTTTGAACTGACATATCAAACTAAATCTCATCTTATGATTATTGGATCCAATCTTGCCAGATTAGCAAGAGATTTAAGGCTATTGGTCAACCGGGCTGAAATTAATACTATTCTAAAAATTATATATCGCTTCTAAATGTTCAGTACTCCAATTCAATATGCAATATTTGAACAAATGATATATGAGTTTCAACCCCTTCTTCAAAAAATTTATACCAAAAAACTCTGCACCAAACACACACACATTTGCAAAGAGATACTAAATCTCAAATTCTTCTTCACTTTACTTGTTTCTAATGTTGTTGTTGACGTTGTTTATTTTTACTGCAAGCTATAAAAATGACTTTTTATAGGTAATCAAGAATTATTTTATAAATGAGTGTTTAGTTGTATACGTTAAAAAAGTTTGAGTCTCAAAATAAGCAATGAATATATTTCATAACCTTTTAGGATATGAGCTGTCACACGTTGATGTGAAAAACTACTCATTAATTCAAATTTTATATGTTACCTTTAGAATATTTTGTTTTATTTTTATCAAATTGCGCATTTGTTCATAAAACATGAGTTCACCAAGATAGACTGTATGGTGCTCGCACTTGTGCGCGAGCCCTTAAAGTTTAAGTCTGGTAGGACCCATGAAACATTCATGCTTGTACAGGGCCGATGCATATATATTGTACTCATGGTATGCGCTAACCGTGTCGTGCTAGCTCGACCATGTGCCTAGGTATAATTATATCATATATTTATTCTAATAATTAAGTTTCTACCTATTCACAACACCAAGATAATAAAAAATCATCAGTGCACCCAGTATTAGATTTTGACTACCTGATGAAATACTACATTTGAACCAACTACCGCTGATGTCACAAATAATAAGTATACCTCTAAATCATATATAAAATATTTCAAACATCACAAATATTAAGATTAAATTAATTATTATAAAGAGTAAAACCCTTCTATATTAATGTTTGAATCAATGTTACTTGAGTTCCGATTTTAGAACTAACCTCTCTATAAAATATAAATACCTTAAAGATAAAATATAAACATAGAAGCATCATCACCAAACATATTTCTACCGTTAATAAAAAAAACTATATAATGTAGTCTAGTTGGTTATAATGCTATTCATTCGTTTATTAAGAAGTGACGAGGGTTCAAACTCTAATGATAACATTTTTAATATATAAAGATGATGATTTGTGTGTAATGACAAAAATGACCTTTCTAGAATCACTCTCAGACCACAAATTTTGAAATAGAACAATTCCAACACATATTTTTGCCATAATATATTTTGTAGATGAACAAAAACAATGAGCATTGGCCTTTAAATGACGCGTGTTCTCTATTTTGGAGGATGCATAACCGCTATAATTAGCTTTTATTTTTTTAATATAGGGGCTCAAATTGTATTAGTCTGTGGCTCATCATTCCAGTTTCTTTATCTCAAGTTCAGAAATTTAAACTTTTGACAAAACAGACACATGACCCTCCTCCAGATGGTGATGAATTGTTGATCACTTGTCCACTAGCTATATATTCAATTTCAATTGACTTATCTACTTTATTTGATCATGATGTCACAGCAATATAGATAAGAACTAGTCTGGTCACTATAAACGCTAGAGTACAAGAGTCAAACTACTCGATCTTGGCTCTCTGCCAAAAGGAAATACAGAAATATCGGCTGGGTTCTCAGAATGTTATAGTTCACATAATTCAGGGGAATTTTTTATTAAATGTAATAGAAAACATGAATTTTGAGCTTTCTTCCGCTATATATAATATAATATTATAAAATGGCGAGTTCTTAAATAAAAATAAATTTAAAATGACAAGAAAAGATACAATTTATTCGAATAAATTTAAATTATTTGATCAAAATTATCTAGTAAAACAAATCAAACATATCTAGTAAAACGAATGAGATCAAAATTGCCAACCTAATTCTACTTTTTCATCTGACTTGGGGAATGTTGCACATTTCGATTTCATCATAAAAAGTCCTTTACTGGGCTGCTTCATTCCACCTCACCAGCTAATTAATGTTGAGGGTCATTAATCCTTATAGATTATGACTGTTAACATAATCAAAGGGTTGCTACAGAATTGGGATACTATTACTTTGGTTTATTCTTTCCCATTTTTTAGAAAAGGGAGCCAAGCCCCTTCTCTTCTATACTAGAAAACGTAGATGGCAAAACTATTCGTAACAGTGGATATCCGCCCGAATCCGATCTAATCGGATATGGTAAAACTCGAATTCAAATGACTTTTAGCTGGTATGGGTAAAACTCGAACCTGAATATATTGCGGGTAATTGGTGGGCATGATTATCTCACTATCCAACACAAATCCGCCCGATTATACACATGCATATGTATTTTGTCTAGAAATAGTAATTATTTTTCTCTAGCATGTTTTATAGGTTTAATTCACCTGCATAGCCATAACTTTCACAATTTTGACAAATATATCCACTTTTTGAAAAATACACAGATATAGCCAATTTCGTTCAATTCTTTGACGGTTCACTTAACCCGCTGATTCGACTAACGGCAGCGGCTGATGTGGCGTGTTTTATTTTGCGTCCTTGCCATGTGGAAAACGTTGATACTGTTTTTTAATTAATGAATAAATGAAATTAAAAATAAAAGTAATAAAGGGTGAGAAAAAGCGATCGAAATCACTTTCCCCTATTCGTTCATCTGTTCATCTCCTTCTCTCTCGACTGACCCCATCCAATCTCTCTCCCCTTCTCTCGATCACCGTCTGAGTTGCAACCGCCGCACAAATTGAAGCCCACTGAATCCATTCAATCAACGGAAAATCGAAGCTCACCTCCATTGGGAAGCCTCCGCCGTCTCTCTGGATCTCCTCTTTGACTTAAGGTTACAGATCTGTTAACGCCGCTTCCACTCTCCTTTACGGAAAAATCACAGTGTTGCCGAAGAGATCGAGCAACAAGGGGACTGTTGGACTGGTAGCAACGGCGATCTGTCCTTATCTTGTCTGTGACCTCTCATATCTTTAATCCCCTCAACAAGGGTTTCGTCGGAAGAGGTTGTGTACGAATTGAAGCTGGGTGAAATCGAGGAGAAGGCGACTGTCGAGGTGGGTTGTTGTTGGTCTTGTCGCATTTTCGATATGCCCAGAATCGACTCTGATCTAATGAAGTTGTTCGAGGTGGAGGCCTACAAAGAGTGAGCAGCGATGGAGTTGGAGCACGAGCAGGAGGTGTGGTGACCACTTCCGAGTGTTCTGGTTTTGGATCCGATTTGTTGTATTCTGGTGGTTGCGGATGCTAGATTTGGGAGGTTGAAAAAGTCCAGCAGCTGGGACATGAGTGGTGGTAGCGACAACTTACGCGACGGCGACAACCAAATTTTAAGAACTCGGAAAACTTAGATCCTGTCGTCGTCGTCGAATGACAGAGAAGTTCGGAGATCCGTGAAGATGGGGTTTGGAAACGATGATTGTTTTATAAAAATTAAATTATTTATTTTAATTCAAAAATATGATGTGGCCGCCAGGTGGCATGACTTGGTGTGTTGGAGCTGATGTGGAGTTGAGGTGACAACCACGTCAGCGTCTTGTTAATGGTGTTAAAGTTTTTAACGGAAACGACTAATTTTACCAAACAAGTTTCTAAAATGTGGCTATAACTGTGTATTTTTCAAAAAATGGCTATATTTGTCAAAATCGTGAAAATTATGGCTAGGCAGATGAATTAAGCATATTTTGTATTTAACATATAAATATAATATTTTCATGAAATTGTATTGTGTTATTTATTTTCTTCATTATCTACAAATATATTATAGTAGAGTTGGGAGCATTTTTTTAACATTTCGAATTCTCTGCTACGAGAGCGAATGTAGGAAGGATAATTGTGTCTTCACAATCATTATTTATTTTTCATTCATAAGAAAAAAAAACATCAATCTCAGGATTCGAACCATAGTCTTTCCAAACTAAGACGACAACCATTACCATTTACACTAAAGAAACATTTTCTATCTTTTTAAATACAAAATCTAAAAAATTATATGACTTTTCACTATTTTTAGCTAGCCCACTAACTCTCCCGAAAGCACTTTCTTTGTTATTTGATATTTTAATTATTTTTATTTGAGTTTAATAGTAAATTTAATTTATGTCCTCTTACATATGGAGAATAATTTTAAAATTGCAACCCAAATATCATTTATTTGAATATTGCATATTGAATTGCAGTATTAAATGTGTAGATGTGATGTATAATTCTTAAATTGGTATTAATTTTTTGAACTATTAAAGCAACGATATTGTTATGCAAACTGTAAGTGACCAGTTTTTTGAAAGTTTTAGTTTGGTTAATCGTTGAATCCTAAATTTATTTCTAATATGGCATGCTTGGAAAAATTGGGTGAGTTTAAAAGAACACAATTTATGAATATCAATGTTTATAGATGATTTCAATAGGGTAATTGACTAGATGTATCATTCATATTCGTAGTTACTTAGTTTAATATGAAATAACGCAGTACAAGACAAATCATGAAAGTCAGGCTAGAGTTTTCATAGACGCGTTGATGGGGTCATGTGCATTAGCAAGGTAGGTACCACAAGAATTGTTTAATGTTTTTGTTGAGTGAATAAGATTGACCTTCAACTAAATTTAGAGTATCTTTGTTGATAAATAATTTTTTCATTGCATAGAGTATGGATAAAGAACGTTATTTTCTTACTAATTTTGTTATTGTATTGTGTATAATACTTTAAGGTTTAGATATTGCTATACATGTATTGTTATTCAAGCAAAAGAAATAAATACTGACTACAGGTTATCATCATGAGTTTCCTATTTATGCTACGCTTTTTCAGACAAACTCTTTTTTTGTTATCTCAATTTTTTTCAACCATAGGCAACTAAGTGGCTGCATCATTAAATAGACAAGTTATGAATGGTTATTCACAAGTGTTATAACCAAGGTTGTGACACCTCTACCGGGCGACTGGTAGGACTAGGTCCGACTAAAGTCGTGATCCAAAACGGGCTCTACAAAATCAAGGGCCTGATCGTTAGAGAGGGAGAAGAAGAGAGAGGCAAGGGGGAGGGAGGAGAGAGGCAAGGGGATGGTGGGTGGATCTTGAGATATGTATATTTTTTTAAATGGAATTTGACTATTTGAGAAAAAGTATAAGACGGCTCAAACAGGTTGGACCTCAATCAAACCATTAAACTTCAAACCACTTGCTTGCCCGGCTCAACGATTTAAACCGGTTTGACAACTTTGGTTATAACCATTAAGATTACAATGTTCACCATTGATGAAAAGTTATAAGAATTTCATAAATGAAAAAATAATTTCAATGTCGCCTTAATGTCATATGAAATTCAACATTTCAATTAATTTAAAAAATTTAAATACATGTCATAAATACATTGTGTTCAAATGACATTCTCACCAACGGGTCGGACAACAAAGTAGTAGTGAATTATTGTCATACTTTTTGTCTTAGGTAATGCGAGAATACGTGTGAAAATTAACATAGGCAAAATACACTTGCATATCAAAAACTATCACCTTTATGCCACTTATAGCCACTTTTGGCGAAATACCACTAATAGCCGCTTTTGAAAGATGTTGCGTGCCAGATATAGCCATTTCCGTTAGAAACTATGACGGTGTTAATAACTCTGTCAACTTATTTGACGGTCGGCTGACGAGGCCCCAAATCATCAGCCACGTCAGCGACAACTAAGCAAATAGTGACACGTCATCTTAATAATTTATTTATTATTAAAAAATTAATCTAAAAAATTAAACCTTATACGCCCATCCCCATCTACCTAATTCGCACGAGGCTTCCTTCTTCCCCCTCTCTTTCCAGAAAACGAAATTATGGTTCTTCCCAAATTTCCTCTTCCCCACGAAGGAGATACACATACTGATCGATGCTTCTATTACTCCTCACCATTACCCACCAATCTTCTTCTACTTTATGAACGACTCGGCGCTTACTCCTCTTCCCAAATTACCACTTCTTCTCGGCCGATTCGCGACCCCGGAATCGGGATTTCTCCTGCCTAGAACTTCACACGAAGGTACAACCATGTCCAAGCGAGCATCTTCCTCAACTTCGACTAGCATCAATAGCCGAGGGGCGGTACTCTGTTGGCACAAGAAGCCATGTGTGGTCAATACATCTGGAACCGAAGCGAACCCAGGCAGATAGTTCTATGGGTGTCCATTTTGGATGGTAAGGTGTTTGGAGATGGCTTTTGAAATTGTCATTGATATATGTAATAAGTTGAATGCTCGTATGGTGCAGGAAGAGAAGAAGAACTGTCGCTTTTTTAGGTGGGTGCGAATGAATGTAGATGAAGATAAGCAACATGACTCTTAAATTGGGTGTTTGACTTTGAATATTGAAGAAAGTTTGAGCCTAGCTGAGTGTAAGGCGGAAAGGAGGAAGAAAGAGAAGAAACTTTTGGCTGAAGAGCTATCAAAATGGATGAAGGCACATGAAATTATACTAGCTGAAGGAAGGAGAGTTAATCATGATATCCATGTTCGAGCTTTATTCACAGTGATTGTCGTACTGAACCTAATATTGGTTATTCTTATGTTGCATCACGTTATTATGTGGTAGGAAATGAATCAACATTGTTTATGTAATTCGACATTGGTATGAGGCAGTTGTAAACGTTATCATCCTAAATGTTGTGTAGAAGCAATTGGTATTTGTGTTCTTAATGTAGTTGTGTCCTTGACATTTTTACCAAAAGGTTTCTGAAAACGTTTTTGATGATGCATTAACTCTAATTACAAGAGAAGCCTAACACAATAGCATAATCCAAGTTGTTAATTACATAGTAGCCTAACATACTCCGAGTTGTTGATAATTGGGTTAATATCTTGTTATGGCCTGAACTATGACCATGTAATCAACTTTGGCCAGTGGTTTGAGAAATTAACATCCTGGCCCGAACTATGCAGCATATAGACAAAATTGGCCTGGAGCGTGGTTTGACCGTTTGTTTGAATGGTCAACACCGTTGACCGTTAGTCAACTGTCCAGGTCACTGCCATGTCAGCATAAAAAAATTATAATTTTATTTTTCTTTTTATTTCATTTACAAAATTGAATAATTAAAAAAAAAACTTTTGGCCCACCCATCCCCACCTTATCCCCTCACCTTCTTTCCTTTTCGATCAAACCCAAACAAACCCTATCTTCCTTCTTCTTCCTCCTTCTTCCCCGACGAGCCGCTGCCTCCATTCTCGCCGCCTCCAAACTGTAACTCATCATCTGATCCCCTGCGCCAAGGAACACCAGCGTTCCCATGCTCTCCCCTTTCTCCCACGAAAACCCCCTTGCCTTCCACCACTGGGGCCCCCGCTCTCTCCGCCGCCGCCTCCGCCCAAGCTTCCCCCGCCGCTGTCTCTACCTTTCACTTCCGCATTCTCTTTCGCCTTCCCGTTCCGCCGAACTAGGCACAAAACAAGCACCGCCGCCACCAGGAACAAAACCACCAATCCGGCCGCGCTTGGAGCAATGATTCTGATCAGCTTGCTCCGCCGCCGCTTCCACGGCGATGATTTTGAACCAGCTGCGGAACTAGGGCTCGGGGAAGGACTCAATTCCGAGCAGTGCTTCCCGATCTGTTTGTGTGAAGCGGCCCATCCCAGGGCGATTCCGCCACAGGAGAAAACAGAGACCTGCATCTCCAAAACAGGGGAGTCGAATTCGAAGCTTTCTCGACGGAAGGGAGCTCGAGGGAGGAGGCAGTTGAGGTTTTCCGGTTCACGGCGTTTGAGGAAATCGGAAATGCGGCAGCTTTCGACCTTGACATGGATGAACGGGATGCTTTCCCCGAACCTGTCGATGAGCAAATTGCCCGAATTCGTCCTGCCGGAGAAAGGGTAGTAGACGGTCAGAGTCTCGGCAAGAGAGCACTTCAGGTGGGCGATGAAGCGATCGGTGGATTGGAGATTTGGGGTTTTCAGGGTTGGCGTAGAAGAGGATGAGTGGAGTGTAGGTTAAGGGGAAGAGCTGGTCGAAGAGGCAGAGCTTGTGTGGAGGTTTTGGTTTTACGGTTTCAGGGGAAGCTGGTGAAGATGATGCAGGCGGCGGCTCTCCGCTGCATTTGAAGTCGGAGAGAATGGAGGTGGCGGCTCGTCGGGGAAGAAGGAGGAAGAAGATGGAAGATAGGGTTTGATCGAAAAGGAAAGAAGGTGAGGGGATAAGGTGGGGATGGGTGGGCCAAATTTTTTTTTTTTTTTTTTTTGTTAATTATTCAATTTTGTAAATGAAATAAAAAGAAAAATGAAATTATAATTTTTTTATGCTGACATGGCAGTGACCTTGGACAGTTGACTAACGGTCAACGGTGTTGACCGTCCAAACAAACGGTCAAACCACGCTCCAGGCCAATTTTGTCTATATGCTGCATAGTTCGGGTCAGGATGTTAATTTCTCAAACCATTGGCCAAAGTTGATTACATGGTCATAGTTTGGGCCATAACAAGGTATTAACCCTTGATAATTTGAGCGAAACATTATATAAGTCTGCCTAACAACATACTCCGAGTTTTTCTTAATCCGAGCATTACATTACATTAGTTTACCAAACATACTAACATACTCCGAGAGTGTTCATAAAGGGCCAATACATGAGTCATCTTTCCCAAAAAAAAAACCTCTAGCGAGGTAGCTTAATGGCCTTGCACAAAAAATACGAGTTGACTCATGGATAGACATGTTTAAGGCTGTGAGGATGGGGGTTGACTTCCATTCATCTGGACCTCAGTGGGTTGCGTGGTTCCAAACGCTCGTCCTCTCGAACCATTGAGCTGAAATACATTACATAAATCAGCCATTACATTCATCTCAGATAACAACAATCTTTTAACCGTATAAATACTTACTCTACCGCAGTATGCTCTGACACGTAGACTCCAACTCCTCCTGTGGCAACTCGCAACTCGCGTTCACCAGTCCTCCGATCAGCAACATTTACCTTGTGGTATTCCTCTACAAGTGAACCTCCCAGCATCCTGATTGCGCATACTTTGGCTCTATAACACGTTCTTCTTGCAACTTCCGTATTGTTTTTCAACTTTACCTCGGCCATAATTTGATCAAGCGCACACTCGGGATTAATTCTAAACCTTTCCAACATGTCACTCGCAATCCAGTGGGCAGTTACTTGGTTGACACGAAGTTTTCTTGCCCATGAATGAGGCAGACCAGCCTTTCTCACCATGAAATTCTGGTTCTTGCGGAACCAGCTAGCATATACTTTCCACTTGCAATTCGTGTCCTTGCATCTAACCTCCCTCCAGGACGACAACAACCTTGAATTCCACAGCACTAGCGAACTTCATCCTTGGCACGAACTCGACAACAGTATGATCACAAAGCGGATCATACTGCGGTGCGTCATCGAATAGGTCCCTACCATCCGAGTTAGATAGGTTAGATTTGACGTGGTTTGAGTCTTCTGATCCTCTATAACTAGAGTGGTTTGAGTTTTCTCCCCTTGTTTCCTAGATTGGAGGTGCCTCATTGGCTTGGACTCCTTCCTCAGCATGAGAGGCAACATGAGCTTCCTCTTCGCGTTCATCAGCCAAAGCATCATCTTCTGAATCTTCATCATCAGATTCCTCTTCTTCAAAATCGTCCAGCTGCTCGACCTCCTCCCCATGGCCATCAATCCGCGCCTTAACCTTCCTTTTCCGCATCTCCCCATAAGCTCGCAGGTTTGACATTGCTTCGTGGTATTCGTCGTCAGAAGTATTAGCATCGTCTGAGTCATATATGTGGTATATGTCTCGAGCAACAAAAGCCTCAATTCCATCTTCTGCATGCAAGGAGAAATCTGATAAAACCACAGCCTCTGGATCGTTCTCCCCAAAAGCAGAGTCCCAAGAATCAACCATCTGTCATCACCATTTACAATTTTTTAATCACCATTAACCACATGATTAAACAATGCTAACATTATTTTAATCGCTACCAAACAAATGGTAAACAACAACGAATAACTGTATTCAATTCTAGGGTTCGTGGGACTCAAAGAGGAATAGACAATTCTAACCCAGTAGATCGACTAACTGACCTTCAAATATGGGGGCAAACTCGCCAAAAGGATCAATCGAGTGGTCCCGAGATTCCTCTGTCGTGTCGCTTTCTTGTCTTTACAACTCGATACCAACCAAAAAACGAAGAGAAGGAAGAAACTATAAGAACCTTCACCCCCGCAATCCACAACCGCAGTAACAAAGCAAGAAAAGAACCTTACCAGTCGCGACACAGGAGTGGGAGCAAAAATCCCCCTTTCAAGTGCGATTAGGGTTTCGACGAATCCAGTCAAATTGCGTCTGCTATGGGTCGATTCCGAGATTCCTTCAAAGCAAACAGCAGAAAACAAGCTTCGAAGGACTCCGCCAAAGCTCGCCGCCGGTTGGTCAACGCATTGGATGCATGTATGTTTTTAACGAAGAAGGAGGAAAAATCGGGACTGGAGGAAAAATTGGGACTGGAGGAAAAAGGGTATTTCGATGGCAGAGGAAGGAAGAGAGGTTGGGTACGCTGGTCTTCGGAGGCAGATCGTCGCCTTCGTCGACTTCGCCGCCTTCGTCGCCTTCGAATATGGGTGGATGGATTCGAAGAAGGAGGATAAGACGGAGTAAAAAGTGGGTGGGTAAAATTAGGGATTTTTTAAAAAAAAAATATTATCCACATGTAAAACGCAGGCGGGCCACGTAAGCCTTTTCGTTTGCCCAGTCACACTTAACGTTAACAGCGTTAAAGAAACGGACGGAAGTTGCTATTAGTGGTATTTCGCCAAAAGTGGCTATAAGTGGCACAAAGGTGATAGTTTTGGCTATGCAAGTGTATTTTGCCATTAACATATTAGTTGGAGTTATAAAGAGAAACTATTACCCATGGATAATCGTGGATACCCGAAACCCGAACGAGTATGGACATGGTTTTGATTTTCTACATGTTTCCTATGTGTATGGGTATGGGTAAGGGCAACACCCGAACTATTATAGGTAAGGTAATAGATATGCATTATCCGACCCGACCCGTTGCCATCCCGAAAACGAATTCCGTTCCTTACTTTGGATCATGGAACGTGCTTAAATCAAAGGCCATCATCCAAACAGATAAGATAAATGTAGAACAGGCCGAAAGCCCAAAACATGGGCGGGTCCCAGCCCGAAGAATAGTGGGAAAATACGTGGGCCACTGAGTTGGCATGACTATTTGCATTGTCATCAGTAATTCAGTATGTAATGAAATGCTTTTGGTATATTCCCCTCCCCCTTATTAGTTGATGCCATGCCAGCTCCTCACTCCATTACCACGTGTCAGACTCCCATTGCGCCGTCGCTAATTATCTCCCTAACCCACACGTCAAACGAGACATTGGCCGGGCCCATCTCAATTTTTTAGTATTATACGACGAAAGCCCACCGGCCACCACCACACAGCACACACCCAGACACCACAAATCCATGTCGACCGTCGCCACTCGCCAAATACTAACATTCGGGCAACTGATGTGGACGTCCTCTTTCCAAAATATCAAATTATAAAAAGCACAAACCGATAAAGTCAGTTCACAACTTCACATTAGTGTCTAAACATTCAACACCTAAACCAAATTCCAAAGTACCTATTAGTATGGTGTAATCTTTGCGATATCAAAATATCATTAACGTATAACTTTTTAATTAATCAAAATCAAAATACATAATTGTTCCTTAGAATCATAACTAGCTTGTTGTCCGACCCATTGGTCGGATTGTCATTTGAATACAATGTATTTATGATGTGTATTTAAATTTTTTAAATTATTTGAAATGCTGAATTTCGTATGACATGAAAGTGACATCGAAATTATTTTTTCATTTTCAAAATTCTTATACCTTTTCATCAATGATGAACATTGTAAGCTTGATGGTTATGACCAAAGTTGTGAAATCGGTTCAAGTCTTTAAGCCAGTCAAGCAAGTAGTTTTAAGTTTAATGGTTTGATTGAGATCCAACTTGTTTGAGTCGTTGTATACCTTTTCTAAATATATTTGCATATAAGATTGAGGTCCAACTTATATCTATTAAAATATAAAACTCAAATTCCATAAAAAATATACTTATCTCAAGAGCCACCCACCATCCCCTTGCCTCTCTATTCCCCCCCCCCCCCCCCCCCTCTCCCTCTATCTTCTTCTCCATCTCTACCAATGAGACCTTTGGTTTTGTAGAGCCCATTTTGGGAGCACGACTTTGGTCGAACCTAGTCCAACCAGTCGTCAGGTAGAGGTGTAACAACCTTGGTTATAACACTCGTGAATAATCATTCATAACTTGTCTAATTAATGATGTAGTCACTTAGTTGCCTACAATTGAAAAGAGAATTGACATAACAAAAAAAGAGTTTGTCTGAAAAAAGCGTAGCATAAATAGGAAACTCATGATCATAACCTCTAGTCAATATTTATTTCTTTTGCGATAAATTTTACAATGCTATATAGTATTGGTGCTATAGGTTTTTGCATTTATGGTACAACTTAAAATTGTACATTTACGTTATGGTACAACTTCAGATTGTACCTATACTTTTTGTACAAATTCTTTTATGGTACAACTTCAAGTTGTAAAGTTGTACCATAACATAATTGTACCATATTATCAAGATATTTAGGATTAAACAGTAAACCAAACTAAAATTTTCTAAAAATTGATCACTTATAGTTTGCATAAGAATATCGTTGCTTTAATAGTTCTAAAAATTAATACCAAGTTAAGAATTCTACATTACATGTACACATTCAATAGTGCAATTCAATATGCAATATCCGAATCAATTATATTTGGGTTGCAATTTTAAAATTATCATCCATTTATAAGATAGACATAGGTTGAATTTATTATTAAACTCAAATTAAAATAATTCAAATATGAAAATTCAAATATCAAATAACAAAGAAAGTACTTGGGGGAGAGTTAGTGGGCTAGCTAAGAGTAGTGGAAAAGTCATGATTTTTAGATTTTAGGTTTTTAGATTTTGTATTTAGAAATATACAAAACATTTCTCTAGTATAATTGGTAATGGTTGGTGTCTTTCATGGAAAGACCATGGTTGAAGTTGTGAGATTGATGTATTTTTTGTTTCTTATGAAAAAATAAAAATGATTGTAAAGACACAATTATCTTTTCCACTTTCGCTCTCATATAAAAATGATTGCGAAGACATAATTACCCTTCTATGCTATAATACATCTGGAGAGAGTTTTGCTTTTGCAGGACTCGGCCGGGTCACAGCGAGTACCGGTTCAGCCAACTATAAAGTAATTTTAGACTTTTAGTAACCCGCCGGTACTCATTTTTCCATCGCAGCAGGAAAGAGAGAGACAATGAGGAACAACATCGTTAACGCCACGTCGTCGGCGTCACACTTCTTATCCCGCCACGTCACGGAACCTCCGGCGATTGTACTGGGAAGAGCAAGGGTGGAATGGTAAATCGACCAGAGGAAAAAATAACCAATTTTCTTCCGCGAGTAGAAAAAGGCCAGAGTGAGAAAAGAAAAAGGGAAAGGAAGACGAAGAAGAGGGAGAGAGAGGGGGGAACGTTGGCTTGTGGGAAATTAAGGAAAAAATTCCATAATACACTAATTATTAAAAAAAATCCCAAAATACAATACTTATAAAATTATTTCCCAAAATACAGCAGTTTGGTTATCACCGCTGCAAACCAAGACAGTGAAAGCAATCACCGTTTTGGTCCAAAACGGTGAAAGGATCATCGCTTTGAACCAAAACAGTGACGCTATCACTGTCTTGGACAAAAGCGAAGATCCTTTCACCGTTTTGGACCAAAACGGTGATTGCATCACTGTCTTGGTTAAAAGCGATGAAAGCATCATCGCTTTCTACCAAAACGGTGATGCAATCACCGTTTTGGTTTAAAACGGTGAAAGGAGACCTTATCACCGCTGATGTGTAAAGCGATGATATCATCGCTGATGTGTAAAGCAGTGATAATTGACACGTTTTACCGGCCTGGTAGGTGGAAATTAGGTCACAGCTACCAAGCAATCACCGCTGAGGACAATGGCGGTGAACACATCACTGTTTTTGTCCAAGGCGGTGATTGCAAAAAAAAAATTCTATAAATACTGACCTCCACTTCCCCTATTGCTACTTTACAGAAAATTAGTACAAAAATTAGTGTTTTATTAGTCGTTTTCTCAGCTGGTTTGGAGTTGGTTTACTGCTCAAGAAACTCGTCGGGATTCGGTATGTTATAATTATGTAATGTTTACATGTTGATGTGTTAGTAATTTATATGTCTGTATTTAGTGAATTGCGGTTATTGGAAAATATGTTATGATATATTTAGATTAATTATGATATGATAGATGTTAGTTAATTAGTTATGAATTTAGATGAATTTGATTAGTTTTCTCATGATAGATCGGGAGTCGGTATGTTATAATTATGTATTGTTTACATTTTAGCACCCATGTAAAAAAAATCACAAAAGAATATAATTAATTTACGTACTCTCAAAGCCTCTTCGTCCATTTTTTGCCGAAAAGCTAGCGAGAGTATCGACAAAACAAAACAAAAACTAACTCTAGTAATTCTTTCTGATGCGGAAGATCGGACTTAGCCGCAACCACAGAGCATACTTAGAACGAAACTAGAGGAAAGTAAAGGAGGGAGAAAGAAGTATAAGATTTTGGTGTGGTTTGGAATGAGGGGGGGGGGGGGAGTGGTATTTATAGGGGAAAGGGGGGAAAGAGCCGCTGGAAAAACTACCAGGGACCAATCACCGCTTCTGACGAAGGCAGTGAAATCACTGCGTCCAACAAAGGCGGTGATGGCCTGGATAGCTGACGTGGTGCGGCGTGAGGCGTCGGATCGTGGAGAAAAACCACAATCCGCGCCTCACTGCATCCAACGGCAGCGGTGAACGCGCGGGTGGCGCGGATTACTGACGTGGAAAGCGGGGCTATCACCGCTTTGGTCTTCAGCGGTGAAGTCCCCGCCCGCGTCCACGTCAGCGATCCGCGCACTTTCACCGCTTTTGGATCCAACGCTGAAGATGTTCACCGCGTCTCTAATTTACGGTGAGTTAATCACCGTCATTGACAACAGCGATGATAGCATCACTGTTGTTGTCCAAAGCGATAATGCTATCACCGTTTTGGACCAAAACAGTGATGCTATCACTGTTTTGGTCCAAAACGGTGATTTCCATCACTGTTTTTGTTTGCAGCGGTGATAACCAAACTGCTGTATTTTGGGAAATATTTTTATAAGTATTGTATTTTGGGAATTTTTTTTAATAATAAGTGTATTATGGGATTTTTTCCGGAAATTAATAGAGGGGGGAAGGGAATCCTCGGAACAGAAAATCCTGTAAAGTGGGTTCTCTCTCTGTCTCTCTTCTCTACGCCTTCTCCTTCTGCTGCTCCTCCATCGCCATCTCTCTCTCCTTCTTCGTGTCTCTCTCATCCTCATTCCGTCTGCTCCTTCTGTCACAATCGGGTGCTGAATGATCCAAGGGGAAGAAGTCGGAAGGGAAGGGGAATTCACGCACTGAGAGATTCTCCTTCTCAGTTTTCTCGGTTGCCAAACGGGAAATTGCCGACCTTTTTCCTTTTTAGGGTTCTGAAATAAAAATAAAAATTTGGGGAATTTTTTGTTTCCTCCAATGACTTATAGAAGTGATGATGACAATTTGGTTCCGGAGCTGAGGATGCGAGTGGATGACGACGATGGCAATGGAGGAGACAGTGGGGGTGTTAATAATAAGATTGGGTATATGAGATTGAGAGGCGAGGATGGAGTGGAGGAAGAAGAAGATGAAGATGAAGAAGAAGGGCTTGATGATGATGGTGGAGTGGGGAAACCAGGGTCTGGTTTCTTCTGTTGGAGGTGGAGATGGTGTGTCGTCTGGTATTGGGTCAAGCTCGCTGCTCTGTTTGCTTGTTTAGGTTGCTTGGGTTTCGTTGTGCTCAAATGGGTTGGACCCTACTTCATGGACAAGGTAATCCAGAGTCTTTTTTTCTCTTTCTCTGGTCTTGAATTCGTGTTATGGTGATTAGTGTGTGATTTCAAGTGTTGTTTGATGGATTGTCGATTTCTCGTGCCTTCTAATTTGTGGATTGGAATGGTCAGTTGTTCTTCTTTGTAGTAGCTGAATTATTTTGCTTCCTTTCTGATTTTCGTGGATGAGATCCTTTTGTTGGACACCAAAATTAGTTTGTGCTGCCGACTACAGTAGGAGTTTATTGTTGCCTTTCAACAAAACTTTGGCCTTTCCTAAGCATCTTATGTATTCTGCAGCAAATCATTCCCATCATCAACTGGGAGACGACAACGTTTAGCACTCCAGTGCTGGCACTTCTTGTCTTCTTTTCAGTGGCATTCTTCCCAACCCTACTCTTGCCGTCTTCACCTTCTATGTGGGTGGCTGGAATGACTTTTGGTTATGGCTATGGATTCTTATTGATCATAGTTTCAATCACTGCTGGAATTTCACTTCCATTTTGCATTGGTTCTCTGTTCCTTCATAGAATTCAGGTAAGAAACTAGCATAGGTTTCTCGTAATCTCTTAATGGATAGGCGCACATTTCACTCTTTGATGTCTTGATGTGTCGTCATTTTCTGTCTGTTGCAGGGATGGTTTGACAAGTATCCGAAGCAGGCTTCCATACTGAGAGCAGCTGGTGAAGGGAATTGGTTCCACCAGTTTCGTTCAGTGGCTTTAATACGAATTTCGCCGTTCCCTTATATCCTATATAATTATTGTGCTGTTGCAACGCATGTCAAGTATGGTCCTTACCTGCTGGGGTCATTGCTGGGCATGTTGCCAGAGATATTTGTTACACTCTACACGTAAGACCTCTGATATGATGATTTCCCTTCTGCTTAATCCTGGATCCACTTTTCTGCTTTTCCATGCCTGAATATTAAGTCTTAATACTCTTACGCATCTCTCATGGCCTGCCAATGTGAGTTATTTGATGAGACTGGTTATAGACATTAGGTACATGTCATTGATTGAGTATGTTGGTAAAGTTTAGGCGTAGAATAACTGATTTGTTCTACTGGCCAGCATTTCACCTAATTATGAACTTCAATGTTATAGTTATTATGAGTCTTCATTCGCTGACAGTATGCATATCAGTATACTTACGGTGGCATGCACTCTGTACTGTACCACTGTGGATTCTTTCGAGACCATGAAGTCACAAGGAGTTGTTAGACATGTATTAAGCTTAAATGGCCACTCTAGTTTTTCTGCAAATTTAGTTGTCGTAGGACAGTTGGAGAAAGCTCTGGAAAGGGTAGCTACTAGCTAAGTTAGAAGATTTGGAATATTCCAAAAAATGTGAACCATATTAGGTGGGTAACTAACAACTCTATGCTTCATAGATACAATCCTTTCATAGTTAACCTGAACAGTTGCCCTTCATTATCTTTAAAAATTAGTATTTACTTGTGCTAGTGGGACCTGTATATTGACTAGTAATTCAAATATGGATGTGCTAACGAGTGGTATTTTAATCCAATTATTACAGCGGAGCCCTTATACAGACACTGGCAGATGCTTCACAGGAAGAGCACCATTTGTCAGCATCGCAGATTGCCTTCAATGTCCTTGGTTTCTGTTTCACTGCAGCCACCACGGTTTTCTTCACGCTCTACGCTAAAAGGCGACTCAAGGCACTGCAAGATGAACCTCTTTTGGCGTAGCTTCTTCCAGTTCTTGTTGCCCAGTCCAGTAAAGGAGAGAGAGATGTTGCAGCAGCTCCACAAGACAATCACAGCAGCTTGCATATATAGTTTTGAGATGATTGAAGCAGCAGCAGGATGATGAAAGTTAGCATCTTGTTGAAATAACTTCATCTGTCCACAAAAGGGTGCACAGTGCGAAGTCGTGATCATCAATGGTGGTGTGTATAGCAGCATGGGAAGAAAATATAAAGGACATGCATATCTAACCTAGTATAGAAACCAGCTTCATTTGCTTGTTTTGCATTTGCTTCCAATCTGAGTTGAGTCTCTTCCAAATTCTTTATTCCCTCTCACCCCCAATTGGTCCTTGTATATGATTGAGATGTAATAAGGGCTGAACCTGGAACTTATGCAGAAGTCTGCTGGATTTGTGTACCAAATTCTATGTGTGCAAATTATGCAGACGGCAATGGTTCAGCTAACTGTTTCAGTGGATATAGCTTAACTCAATCCAACAACTGACCAACTGAGCCCCTATGTTTGTCCCTTGCAATAACTATACGAATCATTGGAATCAATTATTTGTCATTTGTTGATGGATGCTTAGTGGTGTATTGAAACGGGCTGCTCGATAAGTGAAGAGAGAATGTTTTGATTCTCAGACGTACCAGAACTTGCAATGATTGCAAGGATCATCAATACAGCCAGCCGAGTCGTTGTGGTTGATGGAGTTTTTGCAACCAAATTTGCACCAGAATTGACTTGCCTTTGCTTTGTGTACTAGTTTTTACCCGGCCCATTGGTCGGAGAGATTTATTTTATAATTTATATTAATTAATTTATATGTTTAAATAATTTGGATCTTCTAATATTTTATGTTCTTATTCATAATAGAGTTTGTAGTTTGTCTATATTGAAATTTTTCAATATTTAGCACACTCACTTGTGACGTTTCGGTTTTCTAATCATAAATTATGCCGTTGTCACGTCCCATCTCTAAAAGTAGCTTGAAGACATCAAATTTTGGATTTTAATTGGTAACATTAGTTCGATATGATGATATAACATATGGTCACAACTAATCAATCCATTACCCTAACCCCTAAACCTTCAATTTTGAACACAAACCCAATATCCCAAATTATAAACCCTAAACCTAACCCTAAATCCTTCAAATTAAAGACAATCTTGAATGTGTTTTTTTTCAAATTCATGCGTTTCTTGTTCATATTACCATAAGCGACGATTGATACCATTTTGACATGAATCACATGCTCGGAATGACGATTATGAGGCGAATGCATTGAATGCACCCAAAAAAGTGGGTGCACCGAATACACCACCACATATATAGTTCAAGCGAGCGTGGGCCAAGAGTACGCTATACTCTTGCATTCACACTACCATACGACCATTGATTTTTACTATTTAAACCTCGAATTAACCTGAGCTTTTTGGGGCATGATATTATACACTAACCTCTAATATGTGAACTCCAATCCCTAATTCTCTAACCTCTAATTTATGCACATACTTCGTCATACCTATCTTCTATCGTATCTTGCGGAAAATCAAAAGTATAGTATACCTTGATATTATATATATATATATATATATATATATGTGTGTGTGTGTGTGTGTGTGTGTGTGTGTATAGTAGACTCAAAATTATTAAGATACTTCGTTAGACCTATCTTATCTCGCCTAATACTCATATTAAAAGTAGTACTTGCCTACCCCCACCCCCAGGATAGAGATCCCGCTTTTACCCACATAACATCAGACAACTATTGGGTTGTCTATCATTCTATATGTAATATATAAAGAGGCAACTCCTAAGATCCTGCTATTTATATCTTATCCCCCCCCCCCCCCCCCCCCCCCCCCCCCCCCCCCCCCCACCCCCCCCTTATGGAGAATAAAAGGGTAGGGATGACATGATCATAGCTTGATATGATTTTATTATGTTTGTCGTAGCTGAGGTTATGTTCCTTTTTGCTATTTTTGGGCTTCTTTTCATTCTTCTTTGGCACCTATGGTTGTGATCAGAGGCATTTAGCACCCGAAAGGGATTGGGATTTTAGGTCCTTTGGAATCCAATACACATTCATGATCATCGAGTTTGGACGAACTCTCGACCAATGTTGTAAAGATTAGTGAGAAGTTTGAGATTATTGGATAAATATGTTTATCCCAATTGACTATCTTACTAAAAACTGCCAACCTTTTGGTAAATGTCTAGGTTAGTAGTTGATAAAACGTGATGTTTATCGTATATTCTCAACAAAGATTTCTTTAACCTTCACATATGTTTTATTTTTCAAGGAATCTTGTGTCTTAGCCTAGGGTTTGAAGTCAAAGTCTGTCAACAATCATATTTAAGTCATTTTGAACATTTTGATTTATAATTGTCGACGATAACTCTAAGTCTGGAAGAAAATTTCTTAGCATACGACTTAGGACCTCAATAGAGCTTGCTCAATCGACTTGATATAGAGCAAATATTATTAATGTAAACATAGGACACATTATAAAATTATTGCACATGTGATTCCTCTTCATTTGAGTAGTTTAAGGTAGAATATGATCTAAACGAATAAGAAGTCTTTTTTAAATAAATAACTGTAACTACTCGATCAAGATTATACTCTGACATTTTGGCTCAATAATACTTGTTTTATTATATAGACAAATACTTTACGAATAAAAGAGTGTTTCATTGCAACAAAATATAAAGTAATATAGTTTATTTTTCAAAGGTAATTGAATGTCAAATATTTATTTTCTCTCTTTTCGTATATATTCTGGTTAATCGATAAAAATATTATTTGTTTATGTGTATGCTTGTTTAATTTTTTCATCAAAATGTAACTTATCATTCAACTTTAGTAAAAATGAGTAGAAAATTTACTTCATAAGAGTTAATCATATATTTTTTATTTAAACAAATGTAATATATGTCACTCTCTCTTTTCTTATTCATATTTTTTACTTGACAAAAAAATTATTATTTATGTGTGTTTGATTAAGTTTATCAACATGTAACTTATCATTAAAGTTAAAAAAAAATAAATAGATAAATGAAAAAGAATAATTGGATAAAAGTAATGAAAATATTAAAGAAGAGAGAGGTAGCTACATAAATACATTGATAATTAATTTTTTTGTTTGTAAAAAAATTGTCAAACTTGGCAAATTGTGGATCCTCCAAGTGCTTATGTGGCAAGAAATTGCTTTTGAATCGCCATAATATATAGTATAAATAAATAAATAGATAGATAGATAGAAGATAGATATAGATAGATTTTGTCTTTGTGCCGGCGTACCGTGTGCGACTTGGGTGTAGAGTTGGTGAGAGAAATGGGCTGACCATGCCTGAATGGACGAACAAGGGTATTGAGTTAAAACTTATTGCAAAATACTTGTTCTTCGATGTCAGCCCAACAGTCTGAACTTCCTTCGGTTTTTGAGGGGAAAAAAAGTCTGAACTTCCTTTGGGCTTGCCAGCCCATAAAAGCAACGCACTTTGTAGGCCACGCGCCACCGCGCGGCGGCACTTTGAATAATGAATACTAGCGTGGTCCCCGCCATTTGGCCGGAGGAAGGTGAGGTATGAAATTTGATAATGTAATGGGGTGTATAACTTACTTAGTTTTTTTTTGGAAAAAACGTGATAAAAATAGTGAATTTTAGTAGGAATAGACATGAATGATGCAACGAATAAAAAATCAGCTTTGTGAACCAAAATCAAGTATCTGTTACCTTGTGAAACAATATTGTTTCTGGTAATATGATGAGGTGGAGTAAGTTTTATAGAAACCGAATTCCAGAAAATCGAATAAAAAATCGCTTATCCCGTCGGTTTTCGGGAAATGAGCATCTCACAATCGTTGCTAGCTTTTACTCGGCCCGTTGGCCGATTAATTTGCTTTATAAACCTTTCATCTTGTCATCATTGTGCTTTCTGATTTTTTTGCCAAACCATGATAAAATCTAAAGAAATCAAGAATGAACAACACGATTTGGGATAGGAACCACCGTTCCTGTATCCCTAGAAAATGGTGGTAAACACGAACTCACCTGCCAAACTGGTTTGGATTGAGATTTTTATCGGGTATCAGGGAACCATGTGATTATAAATTAGACTTGATCAAAACGGGCCAGAACTTGAAATTCAGCCTGTTTGACCGACCCATGCAAAACTCTAATTATTCTTTACTTTTAAACTTTCTATTTGAAAATAAAAAATAATGAAAGAAAAGAGATGACTACAATTCGCCATTTGCACATCACTGATTCGGGAATAAAACTATAGAATTTCGAAAGGAAACTGAAAATGTTTAGGATCGTTTTAATGTTAAAAATAACCAAATAGATCTTCTGTTTAGTTTTTTTACTAACAAATACCAAACGATTCCCTATATTATACACTATAATTTAATCATTATGATATCAAATAATTACATAATATATATTTGAAATGATAAAAATTGGACTAATTGGGTTGGTCGAGGTTGAACCATTGAATAACTTTAAAATACATGATATTTTAGCCACTAAGATATAAAATAATAGCATAATATATATTATGCTAGAGAAAATAACTTGTTTTAGAATGACAAACCCATGATGTTCATTTGTTTTACTTGATGGGCAAATCTCGTGTAGGTCGGGCCCATTCAACTCTTTTATTTTATGATTAGCGGTTAGCCCATCAGAATCCATGCTTTAGTTTATTGTTAGATTTTTTTTTCTTTTTAGCAATAAAAAGGTAATTTTTTTTGCCTTTTCATATATATTTTACCACCACGGAGAAATAAAAGGACTTAAAGAAAATAATTGACACTCCTGGACCCGTTTAAATTCGCATGTGTACGGTAAGTTGGCCCGTTCCACAGAGGAAAAGGAAAAAAATAGACACTCCCTATTCTACCCTTCCTACAAACGCTCATGGAGCAAGGAATTTGAAATGGGGGAAGGGTTTTTTCCTCTCTGCGATTATATGTTTTTAATTTAAAAAGATACAACAAATGTACTTAGTGTGATTGATTATGATCTTTGCTTTTCTTTAAAGTGGTCATGGTTCGAATTCTAGTAAATGTCTTTTTAATGAATAAAAAAAGTAATTGTGAATACCAAAATGTCCTTCCTTCTTTCACTCTGGATGCAGGAAATTTGAAATGGGGCTTCACGTTTTCTCATTTGCCTTTTATTTGTTGTGTAGATAGATGTTTGTAGTCAGAATACAAGTAACTTTAAAGTGTAACGAATTAACGATAACTGAACTTTATTGAGGTTGGAACTAAGAATTTGAAATCAAATTGAAGGTTATATCTAAAAGTTATGAATAGTGTATTTTATATTAAATTATTATTTAACGGTAATTCATTCGTTTTATATCACTAAAATTATTATCGGTTTGGAGTGCTATACCTGATATTCTCAATCCAACTAAACGATGAATTACGATTTCTAAAACATAAGTCGAAACTAATAAAAAAAATGATACGACAATAACACAATTTTATAATGATGATTCCCTCCGACATTAAATATCATAATCATTCAAAA